CGGTCGATCCGACGAATGGCTAACTTTCATGTTTTCCCGATGTTTCATGACCCGTAGAGTACGAAAAAGTAGATCCTCGTTACCGTCTGTCTGTCTGTCTGTCTGCCCGTCCGTATGTCACCCGTCTGTGACAATTTTTATTAGACAAATACTAGTTTGAAACTACCAGGCTTAGTAGTAGTTAGTATGTTACAATGTATTGTAATTCATTTTCGTTTTCTGGTTTTTTGTTACTCTCTACCATAATATTAGGTTATATTCATTCTAGATCATTGCTCTGTAATTGGTTCGCTTGAACTGTTGGACAATAAACTTATTATTATTATTATTAAAACGCGTACCAAAACTTTTTTGATATCACGGCCAACCACGGTGGTAGAAGTAAGGTGTGGATGCAAGCCGCTCCAATGTGCTGAACAAAACACTCATCTCAGTAGGCTTATTTACTACGAAATAGTATCCAACACAGTATGTATTAACATGTCAACTTATCACTTTATTTATGAATGTAAATGACAGATTCGTTGGAGGGAGAATAAATCACAGCACTACGGTTTGTGGTTCGTTTTTCGTGTGAATTGTGTGATTGGTGGATGATTCGACATTTGTGATTGAGTAATAAATAAATAAGTTAATACAGGTTTCTATTACTTAATTTCAACTGATCTCTCTTGACGGCGCTGCGGTTTGGACAGCTCATAATGACATACCTATAATCCAAAACCACGCGATTTGTGTTTTCTACCAATGATTTTGGGGAAATTTATAAAGGAGGTTTCCACACCTTACTTCTATCACCGTGCTGCCAACAATATGATGACGTCATTCTTAAATTTTACGGTAGAAAATGTTTTATAAAATAACATTCTTGTATTTCTGATTTATAAATCCGTCTTCATTTTTTAACTTTTTTTAAGGTTATCGTAAGCATAGTAAATCGTTAATGAAGATGTGTCTGTTTATGCCCCTGCATAAAAACATTATCGTCACCGTATAATTTTGTTGATTTAACGTTCTTCAAATTTATGAGTGATTACGCTAGGGGTCCAGTTTTTCGGAAGAAAAAACTAAGTAGTCCTTTCATGTACGCTGAGGAGACAAAATCAATCAAATTTCATTTTCTTTTAACACCAATGTAGTCGCTGATACTTGTAATCTAAACGTGTTTTTAGTCGAATTCTATCGTAGTATAAACATATCCAGTCAAAGTTAAGTTAAAATAACTGAGAAATTGAGAATATATTTTTTTTCTGTTGGTTATCTGCTTCAAATATGTATATTTTATCGCGCTTCCTTGGAATTTGCGAATCCGTGGAGCAAGGGCTGCGCGAGTGTTATATACGCCACTGGTTTTTACTTTATAGAAGTTATCACAAAACAAAAATTGCAAATGAGGTTTAATAATTTTTCAAAACAGCGGGATTTCTTGAACTATACTTCAATGGTGCAGAGTGTTCAGTAGAAATAAATCGATAAGTGTCTTTTACTTTTACAGACGTTATCGTAAAAAATTTACGAAATAAAATTTTTAATTTTTTCAAGAAGCAGGATTTATTGGACTGTACCTCTAAGGCGACGTAAGTTCTGGTGAAATAATTTTGGACGAGTTTTTTGTATTTATAGTGAAACTAAAAAGATTTTTGAATATATTGTTATTTCATTGTCATACAGTATAATAAAAAGCCTATTTTAATGGGCACTGTATTCCTTGCATTTACCGACGAGGAAAACGAAAATGGGGAAAAACATTTGGCATATACATAGAAGCAATAACAGTAGTACTACTTACAGATGCACTGTTTGATATTTGCAATGCTAATGTGGTCTACTGTGCACTACTTTGGTGACGCTAATTAGCGTAAACTAAACTAAACGCAGATTATATCATACAGATAACAATTTTTGGACATCAAGGACCCATATTTCATTTCCAAACTAACAATTTTTATCCGAAATCTTTTAGTACATATATTTAAGTAAGATATGTAGTTATCATTTTATATCCAACTAGCTTCTGGCCGCGGTTTCGCTGTCGTAGACAATTCGTTACCCTGAAGAGCATTATTACAAGTTTCAAGTGAAAAATGTGTTGAAGGCATTAATACAAAATTATAATAGTACATTTATTATTAGCCAAGGTTGCAAAGCCAAGCATTCTCGACAGAGCGCAAATTAGAACCCGAGACGCGCAGCGTCGAGGGCTCTAAAGCGCGGGGTCTAAAAGTGGCTTTACAACCGTGGTTAATATACTATTTTTTTTCAGTAGCAGGCATGAAGCAGAGCAGAAACTGTAAAAGACAATAAATTGAAAAAATGAACCTTCAATTTTTGACGAAAAATGTTTAAGTTCACAAAAATTTACATCATAGTAGTGGCTGGTGAAGTGACACTATTGTTGTCGTTTGACATTTGAAAATTTTTGATGACAGCAGCATTTCACGAATTTTCTCAATAGTGTCTGCAGAACAGAACGTGATCGAAATTGAACAATGCACGTCTCCAGAACTGGGGGGGGGGGAATAGGGACACTGCATTTCATTTTCTATGTTTCCATAGATATAACAGTTTTTTCTACGCTTTGCGTGCTGTACGTTCTACGGAACGTGGTTTCGCTAATTATCTAATACCAAGTTTCACGTAAAAATTTAAATTTATAGTAGAAATATAGTTCCCATACAAACTTAGAAAATACTGGACCGATTGTTGTGAAATTTTGTATTTATATTAGGAATATCATGTAGATGGTAAAACCCTAACCAAAATTTGCCTAATCATCCCCACCAAATGATGACGTCACTTCAAAATTGTACATAGTAAGTGGGTTTTAATTGTATAAAATAACATAGTCCTACACATGTAGTTTATGACTCGGAATTGAGTTTTTACCCGAAACGTTCAGATTTTTAGAAAAAAATCAAAATTATAAAACAACATTTTGCAATTTAATTTTGACTCTGCAAAACCGAATGCTGTGAAATCTTGCAGATGGTTTACAGGTATGATAAGCATGATAATCTTTTATTCAAAATATATTTACTTGTCCCCTCCAAAAAATTGATGACGTCGCCTCAAAAGTTTGCCTAATAAAAATCCTACCTAAAATATACAAAATATGATAAGTCTGTACTTGTGATTTATCATTCCATTCATATTTTTTTGGATTTGCATATACAGGCAGACTTAAGAAAATTGATGAGTGGGTGGATTTATTTAATTGATTTAATCAGGAACTACAAAACCGAATGCTTTGAAATCTTGGAGATGTTTTACAGTTATCATAAACATAGTAAATTTTTAATCAAAATATATTTGCTCATCCCCCCTAAAAAATTGATGACGTCACCCCAAAATTTTGCTGAATATGTCCTATCTAAAATGTACAAAATATGATGAGTCTGTACTTGTGATTTATCATTCCATTCATGTTTTTTAGATTTGCTTCACAGGTCGCTCAAAAGAATTAATGAATGTCAATTTATTTTATTGATTAAATCAGGAATAGTTCACCCCATTTTCTCGAAAATTTAGAGATACCACACTGTTATTATTAGTATTACATTGCAACATTTTGTAAAGTAAAAACAGGCGTAGCACGCTTATTTACATTTACTTTAACATTACAGACGTGCTTTTGTTTTGTTGCGCTGACTAGGTTCCGTGGATGTGGTATAGACAAGTTATAATCAACCAATTGTGAATTACACCATCAAAAATTAAAATGAAATCCAATGTTTTACATAATAAGCGGAAGTCGAAGTAATAAAAAAGTCTGGAAGACCATCGGTATTGTTTGCAGTTTCTCTGTTTGACTCTCACGTGTACAATCTCAACAAGTGTTACCGCTTATAAATAAATGATTTTGAGTGGCCTCTGCTAATACACGCGGCATATGTGAGTAAACTGTTTCGTTATTTTATGAATTATAAATCAATATTCAAGACGACCCAATTCATTTTCCCGAAAATTTGGGAATACAGTACTTTTATCTTTAGTATTACACTACTATCCAAACTGATATACGTGTCCTTGCAAAAATGTATGATGACGTTACGGTCCCGTCTGTTTCGTTGTATTTGGGCCACCTTGGATATATAAATTGAGTACTAAATTACTGCTTGATTTTTGTGCTAAATATCTGCAATAAAACCTAATAATTGGTGAATAGTTAGAACTACATTTTGTCATCATTTCATTTACCAACTATTTATATGTGAAAATAGTTAAGTGCCGGTTGGATTGCTATCAAGTTCTGGTTAGGACAATGTAAATAACATCACGAAACGTCCAACATGACTAAAAAATGCAGTAGTTTTCCACCTCTGATTCTTTTATGTTGCTAGTTCTGGTTTAAAATTATGCACTTGCAATAATTACTACATATAATGAAATTATGTGCCTGGATTTTCAAGATTATTCTCTAATGCCTATAGGGTTATTGTTGTTTCCTTTTCTATGCTCTATTTTTAAGATACTGTTTAATACGTAGATTTAATCGCAGTTTTTACGTTTTATCTCATGTACCATATGAATCCCCATGAGGAGGTTTTTTATTTGATTTTTGTGTATCACATTAACTAAATAGGTATTATGTTGGCCTATACGCTACGTTTAAACTGTCTGCCTAAATTGCTATTAAATTTTCTGTTAATATCTTGTGCTTATAGGAAACGTATCCATTTTCTTCGGTTTTCAGCATCTTTGTTGTCGTACTCTTTGTATTCCTACTTTTTCTGATATGCTTCTCTCCCCCCTCTTGTATGGTCAACCTGATGTAGCAGAGTTACGATTATTATTATAGTTTTGAGACCATGGTAAATAAATACGTCTGCCATGTAGTAACTGCACAAAGCGATAGCAATCTACTGTGCGACTTGTGAAACTTTTTAAAACACCATTAAGACTCACGTAAGAGTTACAACAGTTTGCCAACGTGTAACATATAGCTTTTTGATGATGAGCTTACTGAAAGTTAGTTTATTTATGAAGTGTTATATTTTCAGAATGATACCATGAGAGTTGTGTGGGCTTTTCATTCGGAAGAGCCTACAGGAGGATCTGTTGGACCGAAATCATTGCCACAACATAGCCTAGGATCTAGAGGGACGCAGTCATTATATTTGGTTCAAAGAGCTGATCAAGACGCCCCTGGACCTGAAGAAACAACCAGAATATGGGAACTTCGTAATCCTCCAGTTGAACCACCAGCTCCTGGAGAAAATCTGTACTGGTGCCGTATTTTTAGAATTCCTGTCATTACTAAGAAACATCATTTAATTCGTGTAAGTTTATAATGTAACTTCCGTTTATAAAGTAATAATTTAAGTAATTATGACAAGCATTTATTAATTTAAAGAATAATAGTTACTGCAGTCATGTTGAATAATTGCTGGCCCTTGGATATCAACTGATATAATTGTCACATTTTTGGTGTTGTACACATCGTCATGAATTGTAGCACCATACACTTCATTAATATAACTATAACTATATATTTTAATAGTATTCGGTCAGTAATCTGACACTTTCAAACTCTTTAAAAGTTTGGAAGTGAGCTACTCCATACTTCACTTCCATTTCAAGGGTGGAAAGTGACATATGCCATTTATGTATAACTTTTCACCATCAAACGTAAAAAATTGTGATACTTGTAAAATTATGATCTTAAATTTTTGCATTACTTTTAAAAGCTATTTGAAGCAACTGTGAGTAAAATAGTAGATGTATATACGCCGGGGAAAATTTCATTTGTTTCTCCCGAAATAGTTCACCTCGGGGCTGCACCCCTCAGTAAACTATCTTTTCTCTCGAAAGTAACGAAACACTTTCCACCACGGTATGTATGATATACTTACTATGATTTGATGAGCTAAAATTACGAAAACGATGTATAAATCATGAGCTCTTGTCAAAAAAAGTCTCTTTTAGTATTTTACGTAATTTGACAACACTACTTTTAATGGTAATATGCGGAGTGCATGTCAAATTGTCGACAATTTTAGTTTTCTCGAGTGCGCGAATCTGCACGAAACAATAAGTATTAGGAGACAATTTGATTTGCACAAGCGGATAGTTTGCACTAGGGCAAAATCATCGCTAAATATAAACGCTTTGATTGTATTAATTTTTTTTTAAGGAAATAGTAATTTAAAATTTATTACTCCTATTATATTTGTTTCGAAATAAGACATACCATATTTTATGAGTAGATAGTTCACTTCCAGGGCAAGCAGTACATTAAGCTCTAAATGATTATCTTGTATTAAATTATCTATTTTGCCTTAAACTAATGCTGTTTATGTGTAAGTAAAGGAGATTCCTACATTTGATTAATTTAATAAGTATTTGCAAAATTCGTAATTGGAATAGTCTTTACACTCACTGACTATACAACTGACAAAAATTTATCCCATATGTTAACACAAAAAAACTAGTCTGAAAGAAAACACAATGTTGTAATGTATTTTGTTATATGTTCTGTTTCTATTTTAGTTTTTTCGCTAAAGGTGTTGCAAAATTTAAATGCAATCTCAAATAAAGTCGATTTCCTTTTTAACGGTGCAGTTGACATTGTCGGCATAATTTTTCGATTTGAAGACCGGAGATAAAAGTTTCCTCGGCTGTAACTTTGAAAGTGCTCGGTATCGGACCGTTATTGAAACAATCCCATCCATATGAAGACACCTTTATCCTATTTGTAAATCCCCACAGAGAAAAAAGCGCCGAGACGTTTTCACGTGTCGCTCATGTTCAAATCTCCCAGATATGACATGCAAATTGCTTAGTTTTGAACTCGCTTCACGGATTTGCAAATAGTATTACGCGTACGTCTCCAGTAGAGGGGGAGCGTCTTCGGTAACGTTCGAATTCATATGAAATTTCACAATTCTTTGTTATTTAAATTTCAAATTACTTAAAATTGCATTTTCTTTGATGTGTTCCAATTGCCTGCGTTTGTTCAATTATAAGTGGGGTGCTAGTTCAAAGATATGAAGGGCTTTACTGATATACAAATATTGATCCTGTTAAACTGACATAAAAGTAAGTAGCAACCCCATTTTATGTCGTTTCCTCAAATATTTATTCTTGTTTATTTCAAACATTGCTTTAAGGCAACAGAGAAATCATCAGTCATGGCGAAATAATCAGCGCGTCAGTTTATTAACGTACCTATCAGTTAATGGTTACACTTGGATTAATTTAAGGAGAAACCGCGTTTTTATGTTAAAAGAATCAAAAGCGTTTCACGAATGTTTCGTATACCCGTAATACACAGTTTACAACGCCACTACACTATGTTAAAGATATACCCAGATTAAAACATTAATTGTATCACAATTGTATCCTGTCAAACATTATCTAACACACCTGCAAAAATAAGGAATTCCCGATCCATTTTGAAAGCTAAATATGTTGGTATCTTCTAGGATAGTAATGCACATGTAACTCATTTTGGGCAATTACGCCGTATAAGCGCTAATATCTCTAAAAATGTATCTATCTAACTGAAAGCAATTTTGCTGCGTTACTGGTTACTTTGCCTTGAAAATGACTGATCAACAAAGGAAACCCATGCCGGTATAGATTTCACTGAAGTATAGGTGAAATAAAATATATCTAGGATATCTAATTATGAGGTCGTATGATGTAAGAAGTAATGTAAGAAAAGGATATGCAAAGACAAGCGGGCTTTAAGACGTAAAAAAATGTTTATAAATAATAATAATTTTGATAATATGTATAATTGACATTTTATGACCGAACTAACTCTTAAGTTTCACATTTTGTCACCTTTTAGCTTTGTTATAATATAATCTATGGCTACTGGTGAAATGTCTTTTCAAAATGTTAACAGCTGCTTATATAAATTGAACCGGTGTTCGATGTTTAGATTGGAGTACCCCTATGACAATAATTAAATATTTACTCTTTGATTTCAAATGAAATAAATAGCAAATTAGCAAGGACATTTAAATAAAATAAATTAAATCCGTGCAAAATAAGTAGGTACTAAATTTAAATTTCTAGAAATCTGACTCAAATTTATTTCAACTGAGTAACAATTATTTTTAAGTTATGGTCAACCCTAAACCTGGAATCTTGAAGAATTGAAACTCAATTATGTCTGAAAACAGACTATTGATGTGGAGACAGCTTGCACACATTATAACCTTCGAAATTCTAAAGATGGCATTCTGCATTGTTTCATTCCCTGTTTACAGTAATTATAATTATTTAAAAATTTTAAAATAATGACCTCTAGACTACGAAAAAGGGGTCTCAATTTTTCATCTGTATATCCGCCCGTCCGTACGTCCGTCGTCTGTGTCAATTTTTATCAGACAGATAATCTCCGAAACTATTGAGCTAATTATTGTCAAATTTTGTGTGCATATTAGGAATATGATGTGGACGCTAAAACACTAATCATCCCCAATAATGAGTGATAACGTCAGATAATTATATTCCATAATTAACATTACCAAAACTATATGAAATAATATACTCCTGTACTTGTGGTTTACAAACCTGCCTCGATTTTGTTTATTCTTATTATATCTGTTTACTGTTTCATTCGTCTTCTTCTTTAAGGTAGCAGCAATCTTACAGCTAGCGTGACTCAGTGCGTAGAGTATATGTACCAGCAGATCGAAGGTCGAGCGATTGAAACTGGCGGGCGGCGGGGCTTTGTTTTCGTTAGATAAAATAAATTTAATAAAATTTATCACTTGAAACAAACACGTAGTACACTTCTTTATCTTTACTTAAACATTAAATACATACCCCATATCTTTATTTTAACTTGGAAGGGTTACCATAAAAAATAAAATTCGCAAAATCAAATCTTATAATTTTTTGGAACAGCTGGATTTGATGTACTGTACTTTATGGGCGAGGGAAGTTCTCTCGAAATAATATTTGACAATTTTTTTTTCAGCTACAGTGTCGGCTCAGTTAATATTCATTTCTAAACATGAGGAATATTTTTTAAGCAGCAACTGAATATAAAAAGCATTGAATAAATTCCAAACTCTATTAAAAAAATATAGCTATTGAGACAACTACTATTTTATAGGCAATTTAAAAAGAGAAGTAGCAATTTAAATCCGAGCGACCGTAGGGAGCGACTTTTTGGTCGTACCTAAATGAATGACATTAAAAATTAACTTGTTGGACCAACCTGCTTGTATCTCATTTTCGACAAAAAATGTTATCCTCAATGTTTTTCTTAGCATTTACAGTTTTTGTAAGCGGAAAATAGTGGTGAAAACAGGATTCGGAAATTTCCATAAATATTTATTGAAATATTGATTTTTAAAGATACAGGATGAAAAATTTCGCAAAAATTTTAAAAAGAAGATGATGATGATAAACTACTTTAAAAAAGCTACCGGTGCATTTTATGTATAGATAAAATTGAGGACAGGTTATATTCAAAATATGAGACAATAACGGAGATAATAAATTCTGAAAACGTAATGAAAATCCCATAAGTTACACGCAACGACCCTCTTAATCACGACACATGCACAGTAAGCTTTCTTCTTCGACATCAGTTCAAATAACAAAACAAAATTTATTGCGATGAAATACAAATCTGCTGATATGGTTTTTTATTTTCTGAACTTTTACAAAATACTTATAGCTTATATGACATAAATATTTAATAGAGAATATAATTCATGGATCACATGACCCCATTTCTTCCAATAGAATTGGTCCATGCCCTTAGTTACATGTCTATCACAGCGATAATAATTTTATTGCCTTATTGTGGTCTGTTGATACCTAAATTTAAAAACTGTCAAATTTGACAAATTTTAGAATTTCATAAATTTTTTTGTCTATTATGGCTTGCCAACGTTGGGGGCTAGCTCAAAACGACGAAATCAATTCTATTATCAAAAAATATGTTCATTTATTATATTCTCATGTTGAATATAACTCGTGATATGATTAATAATCGAAGATATGGCTCGTGAAACCGAAGCAGCACATTTGCAGGTCGGTTTCACTCGAAATATTATCGATAATAATCATATCACTTGTTATATTATGACTGAAAGTACCTTGGTAGTCGGATTATTTGGTAATAAATACTCTTTCACTATTGTTTGACACTGCTTGTAACTGATGCATAAAAAAGTTTAGTGCATATGAAACATGTTATTTTATGCATTATCTCAGAAGCGGCTCATCTAACGTTATAAGTATTATCTGATCTTGATGTAACAAAACGACTACATTCATCATGTTGGTTGTGTTTTAGACACGAAGGTAACTGAGTGTTAATATTGGAAGTGCCTGAAAAACTTTAAATATTAACCCGGTTTCTTCCAGTAATCAATCGGTTAACAAGAATTTGCAATTTTTTTATCTGTTAATTCTTGCTTCCAGTATGAACCACTGCAAGGGGTTAAAGCATGGAACGGACTACAACATGTGGTTCTCTATGAATGTCAAGACGGTTCTCAAATATCGAAACTGGCCGACACTCCTGGACGTCAGTGTTACGAACCCAATGTTCAACCGTTGTCTTGCAATACTGTAGTTGCAAGTTGGGCCAGGGGCTCTGAAGGTTTTAGTTTCCCACCAGAAGCTGGTTATCCCCTAGAACCCACCACTTCCCGTTACTATCTGTTGGAAACTCACTATATCAGTCCCACAGATGGCAGTTTAGGATCTCTTGACGGGTCGGGTTTGAGATTATATTATACCCCTGAATTGCGGAGACACGATGCCGGTGTTATATCAATAGGGATGGATCCGAACTGGAGACATATAATACCACCAGGACAACAAAGAGTTGTCTCTTCAGGACACTGCGTGTCGGAGTGCACCAAACAAGCTTTCCCTCATAATGGAATAAACATGTTCGCTGTTGTTATGAAAACTCATCGAATTGGACGACAAGTAGCTCTGAAACACATTAGAGGTAGTGTAGAACAACCTCCCATTGCGGCTGACGACAATCTTGACTCGGATTATCAAGAATATCGCAAACTTGGTGTGCCAGTAAAAATTTTACCCGGTGACCATTTAATTACCGAATGCACTTACAACAGTTCTGGAAGAACAGCAATTACTTTGGGTGGCCTGACAAATCGTGAAGAAACTTGTTTGGTTATGGGTCTTTATTACCCGAGACAAAGACATTTGGCCGCATGTCACAGTTTACCAAGTCTACCAACCGTGCTACATTCGCTCGGAATACAAGAATTGAGTCCGTAAGTGTTTGTTTTATGGTTGTTCACGTAGTTACGTTAATCACATCGAATTTTTTATATCAAGACACTGGTATTGCAATTACGTTATTGTTGGATATGTAATAATTGCATACTTTACTTTTCTTGCGATGTGCGTACAAGTTAATAATTCACAGACAAACTATTCATTTGATTGTGATGTTTTTGTAGATTTTGCGTACACCAATAAAGACCAAAAACTAACATGTTCAATGTAGCTTGAAAAAATGAAGCGTTTAATTTTAAATTTTATTACTAAATATACTTCTATATTTTTTCGGAAATAATCTTTGTATCTACGTTGCTCGTTATTTTCTGCACGTTCACTGTTGTTTAATTGGGCATTAATATATTTCCGAAATGCAACATTTGGCAAGACGTTCATAATAGATTGAAATGATTCGTAACGATATTTTCTGCAAAAGTGAAACAAATCGTTCTAACTTACCTCTTAAAACCATCTACCTCACCTGTAATATTTTTAAAAATCACGAATAATTGTAAAGAGAAAGTAAATAAAAAAAATGACTCGTTTAGTTGTGTTTTTAACTACAGTAAATAAGATTTTTATTTGTTCATTCGAGTCCTTATGAATAGCTCATACAAAAAACGGATAATTAATTAAAGTACACTCAAAATTTCGAAACAGTTGGTTCATGAATCGAAACTGTTTAATAAACCAAAAGACTTGAGGTTAGAAAATTGTAAAAATGACCCTGTAATAATATTTTTCGTGGTTATCTCGAGAAAACAAAAAAAAATACGTTAAGTGAAGATATAACGCCGCGGAGTTATCTGCAATATTTTACAAAACATGTGAAAGCCTAAAATGTTTATGAATATTTATTTTGCATTGTACGATGTACGATGTTGCTAACAATGCTTTTTTATCTATTTCTTATTACAGAGGCTCGAATCCAGTGAGAATATCCGCCCCTCCTGAGCTAGCTGGTATGACGTTGGAATCAAGGTTAGTTTCGTACGACTGGGACAATCAGTTTCACAGCTTCCAAGAAGCGACGATGAAAGGATCGTTCAAGCCGTTATGTTGGACTGCGCAGTCAACCATTTTACCAGTAAGTCTTTTATTATTTTGTTTGTCGATTAGATATATCCGCTACGTTTCATGTGGAATATAAATACACATAGTTATATTTTTTCAAGCCAACAAAAACAACCACAGAAATGCCTGCATTTTTTGACAAAGTCTTCGCTTTAATAATAATAATAATATATATTTTATTAATATAATCAATGCATATCATTACTTGGTCTTAGTATCCGTAATGATAGAAGTATTGCCTAAATGCCAGTCATTTCCGAGTTAATGGAGGGATGCAGTTTCCTTCCTTACTACTGCAACGTAAGTAGTGTCGACATATTCTAATGCAAATTTTGTATCCTATTAACACAAGCAAAAAAGGAAGTATTTGTTTCTGTAGTTCTTTTTAATACATATATATAAAAAAAATATTTTTGGTGTATTCAATAGAAAAGTGCGTCTTTGTTTTATAGAAAATGATAAAGATAAGTGCCACTTTTCTAGTTAGCAACCAATAAGTCTCACCGTTTCATCCTATTCATTTTAAAATTTTTTGTCTTTCATTCATCGAAGTATTTGTAACACTTTTTATAATTGTGTTTCAATTTCACATCTACTAAATTTGCAATTCCTTCTATAGCATCGCCAAAAAATGCTAAGGTATTATTTACAGTTATCCATTTTTGCATTTTTTTTATCGTGTTTACTTGGATGTTATGAATAGGTATGTTTGTATAGTAAATTGTGAAATTTTACACAAACGGGATTATCGCGTAAATCAAAAATTATTTTTGAAATTCTATTTTAAACTTTTAAAAACTGAGTACACGAAAAAATAGCATGTTCAATGCTTAAGGGGGAGCTGAAGTAGATTTCGGCATAGGGGAAATAATGTAAAACGGGGCACGTATTTTACGGAAAACCCTTGGTCCAATCACAACAATTTTTCGTATACATAATCTACGGAAAAAATTCTATAGATCTGCTTTTTAGTTTTTTGAAAAAACTATATTTGAACATACTTTTTAAGCTTTACAATTCCTGAAATTTTGAGTGTTTTTATTATTTATGACTTGTAAGGAAAATTTCCAAATTTTGAAAAATCAAAATCGGATAATAAATAAACTCTAAAACACATGCCGAAAAAATAGATTCGGAAATATTTTTCAAGCTGAGTAATTTTCTGGTTTATTGGGGATGAGAGCAGGTATAGGCCTAAAGAGCTTAACGCCATCACTCATAAATAAAAGGATTACAGTGAAAAGGCCAATTGCTATAATTCAAAAGATGCTTTTACTAGAAATTGTTTAGCTAATTTTCACAGAAATTCAGATTTTATTTACCTTTGGACTACACAGTGATTGGTCATAGGATCCTAATATAAGTCGGCAACTGAAAATTTTACATTTAGTTTAGTTGCTGTATTTGTAGCAATATACAAGTGGTTACAGTTTGTGCTGATTTTATCAATCTGAAAATTTGTCTGTTCATTAGAATACTGCGTTATATAAGCAGGTATGTACGTTTGTATGTATTTCACAAGTTAAATACCTATACAATAGAAACTTAAAAATCATAAAAAGTTGTAACAAGATTTTTTTCTATAAATAGTATAGATTAATCAAATCTTTTATGTTTATTGCTAACCTAGGGGAAAGATTTTATGACTCACACGTTACATCTTTCACGTAAAATAGAAATAGATTTTGCATTTTGGAAATACAAATTTTTAGATAAAAATTTTAAAATTATTTCTTGTTTGAAAGTTGTCATTGTCATTGTCATTTTCTTCAACAGGAAGTCCATTGTTGGTGGAAAAAACTTGTTTAATTTTAATCGCCACACTCGTATTATATTTTAAAATACATTATTTGATAAAAAATCTAACATAATAAAAAATGTATGTTCACATATAGCTGTAGAAAACCTTTAAAAAATTTTCACTCTTCAAAAAATAAATAAATAAACAAATAAGTTGCTATTTAAAAACATGTCAATGACAATATAATTAAAACAAAAGACAATCAACATACAATTTTTATGTAGCGATGTACATGTTGAAAATATTTAGAAAATCGAACTTAAAAAATTAAAAATACATACCTATGCAAAAAATTTTACTATTATCTATTCGAAATCCTGATTATATTTTAAAAGCACAAAGAGAAAAAAACTCACTAAAATTTAAAAAACAAGTTTAATTGTAAGTTTATTAAAACTGATGTTTATCTTTTTATTGTATTAATTCGTCCTTACTAATTTTATAAATTTGACATCTTTTTAAATTATCATTCTCTGTTTTTCGGAAAGTTTGGTCGAAATCAGCTTCGAGCAATTTTTTTATAATCTTTTTATCTGCCTATCTATGTGTGTCTGTCCAATTTCGAACGTATGTCTCCCCGTCATTCTACCATGATTTTTTTATTTTTTTATTACCATAAATTATATTCCTATTACATACTATTTATGTATAAACTATTTGCTCGTTTTGAAAATATTTAATATAATAAATCTGTTACCTCTAAAGGCCGTGTGACACGATGCTAAATTTATGACAAATTTTAGCGAGATAAATTTTGTGCAAAAAATTGTACCGTGTCATACACAATTTACATGCTAAATTTGTGTGCAAATTTTGGTGAGAAATTATTTAGGACACGTTCTAAATACTGACTAAATTTGTTACGAAAACTGCGCAGTACGATAAGGCGCAACCGGTACGACGCCATGATGAAATCAACATAACCAAACAGTTCTTTTGCCCACAAATTGAGCACCCGTTAATCTCAAAAAATTTTGATATGCAGTTGGATCTTCTGGCAACAACTCGGTATTTAACATGTTTAAAATATCTCGTCCTTCTTGTCGCCTTGTTAACCAAGGTCTGCTCCATAGTGAACGTCGTTTTCTTCTTTGAATTTTCCGATTTGTTTTATTGGCATAGCAGCTTAGAACAATACTCGAAGCAGCAATAGTTGTATAAACAAGTATTTCCTCACAATTCATTATAAATGATTAATAAGTAAATAATAAACAAACAAATTGTAGGTTATGTCACAGAGGTTATGTTGAAAAACGCACCTTACCAATCACCATTACCAACACTATTTCTTAAATTCCCGAAAATTTTCACTCACTACGCATGCGCGAATGGTAAATTTACAAGAGAATTTAGTAAGGTGGCATACAGGAGATATATTGTTTAGTTGTAAATTTAGTTACATTTTTTCGAACTAAATTTCGTACAAAAATTTGTCATAAATTTAGCATCGTGTCACACGGCCTTTTAAGGGTAATCTTAGTACAAAAAAAAATCGTGAAGATTAATTAGGTAATTGTAAAATTTACCTGCAAAATAGAAAATGAACATACTCGACCTGCAACAACCAGAGGACGGAGGACCGTCCACAGGTAATTTATTCCGATAAGGGATTAGTACAGTCGCCCATCCAAGTAGAGATTTTGGGTGCTGATAATCCGCATCGGCAAAATATTTTACTTCAGCTCCCCCTTAAGAAAAGTGAACCCGTTAATTAAACTTCTTACACTTTAAACTACCACTTTAAATGACACGGCACATGTAAAAAAAATGGTCGAGCATGATATTACAATATAATAATTTCTGATTTTGTCTTCAAATGTTGCGTTTATATTTCTGTGAGTATGTGACATACCTAGTTTGTTTAATTTAATACTCTAGAACTCTTCGCTTTCGTATTTCTGAGTAAATAATAATTGGCTTGGTCACTATTTGGAAATCTTGTTGAAAGTTGTTTTTTCCATGTTAAGTAACTTATCCAAAGCGTGTGAAGCGATTTAGTGAAAAGTATGTGCGTCGATATTATAGTTTAAAATATACACTAAAACTTTCCACTATTCATTCGATTTGTTATTACCACAATCCCTGCTAGATAACACTGTTTTTACTTTCCAAGCGACGAATGGCCACTTTTATATTTTGTCAACGTTTCATGACCCCTACAGTACGAAAAAAGTAGTCTCCCATTTATGTCCGTCTGTCTGCCTGTCTGTCTGTCTGCCTGACGTTTGTATCCATTTTTATTAGACACGTAATCTCCGAAACTGCTGGACTGATTGTTGTGTATTTATCAGAAATATCATATATATGGTTAAAGCTAACCAAAATTTAGCTAATCATCCCCACCAACAATTTGATGACGTCATTCAAATGAATTGCATTTTAAAATGTTTGGAATGATATACAACAATATACTGCTATAGTTGTACTGTACGAATCCGCTTTCAGTATTTTCACTAAACGTTTAAATTTTCGCAAAAACATTTGCAAAGTGTAATAAGCTGCAGTTCGATGCTGAACTTGGCCTTTTCCGTTTTTTCTTCTTACATTGGTAATATGCTATGAGTATTTTTCTTTTGTGCTATGGCTAGTATTATTTATGTTGATGACATCATCACAAATTTTTTATTAGTTACATTAAGAACAAATCAGCATATTTTCTCGAAAATGTGAAAATACGCACGTCTTTATATAATAACTAGCTGACCCCGTGAACTCCGTTTCACCTACAATTTAATTTTGAATCTGCAAAATCGAATGCTTTGAAATCTTGCAGATGTTTTAAACATATGATAAGCATAATAAATTTTTATTCAAAATATATTTACTTATCCCCTCCACAAAATTGATGGCGTCAACCCAAACTTTTGCCAAATGAATCATATCTAAAATGTCCAAAGTAGGATGAGACTATGCTTGTGATTTATCATTCCATTCATATTTTTTAGTTTTGCTTATAGGGGGTGTCTCAAAAAAATTAATCACTGAGTCAATTTATTTTATTGATTGAATCAAGAATTGCAAAACTGAATTTTGAAATATTGCAGACGTTTTGAAGTTACTGTTTGACATGGTAGGTTTTCAATCAAAATATATCTGTTTATCAAGCCCAAAAACTTGAAGACGTCATCTCAAGATTTTGCCGAATAAATCCTATCTAAAATGTGGAAAATATCATCAGTATATTTTCGTAATTTATCACTGCATTCATATTT